CCCCAAAACCCCAAAACCCCCAAAACCCCAAAACCCCAAAACCCCAAAACCCCTCAGTATCTAATTTTGATTGGAAGCATCCTAAATAATAAAATAATTCAAGAACATAAAATGGAAAAGCCTCCTGTGAAGGAATCTCAACCTGAGGTCAAGGAGAAAACACCACGTGTAAGGAAGAAGTCCTTTGTAGAAGAAGTACAAGAAGGAGTGGCTAGTATGATCTCACTTCAGAATGATTCAGTCATTAGTCCCCTTAATATGCCACAACCTGATGTCCTAGAGCTTGGAGATGAAATAGAAAGAAAGAAGAATAGGGTAATTTTAGAGTATTTGCTCAAATACGAATCTATTTCATCACTAAAAGATATCGCTAGTCAAAAACTCAAATAAACTGAAATTAGATGCAAAGAATTTAGATATCAAATCATTGAAGAAAAAGATAGATGATTACACTCAAACTTCAGAATATGCTAGACAAGCAGATAAAGTTTATTACCTTATCGGATGCTCTATTACCTTCGTGACGATATTCATCCTCGGAAAGTTCCCTGGGACCTTTTACTTTTACTGGCTAGCCTTTATCGAAATCTCAATGTTATTAAAAAGATGTCATCTGTACTTTCATTTAAAATGGGAATACTTCTTGATTGATTACTGTTACTTCTGCAACATAGTTATGTTGATATACATATTCTTTTTCCCAGGAAGTAGGTTTTTGTCAATCTTCATGCATTCGATGTCATTTGGAGTACTCTCCTACAGCTTGTTTTGATTCAAAAATAGTTTCATATTCCACCATTTGGATAAGTTGACCGACCTGGTTATTCACTTGTTACCAATAGTAACAATGTGGAATATTAGATACAACATCGGAGGCACAGAAGAATTTAAGCAGTGGGGTTTCTGTGACTTGTCTGAAGTTCCTTTCTCTTTTGGCTATATAATCGAAGCATTTTCTGCTGCGAACAAAATGTACCTAAGCCACGCTTGCTTCTACTATTTCTTAGTCTGTGTTGTATTGAGAACAGAGATATTTGAAAAAGGCAAGAACTGACTTCTGAAGTACACTACTGAGAATAGTCCAACAGCTCTAAGATGGCACAAAACATATGGTTTGTGGGCGAGATGTCTTCTTTTTGCTATAAACCACTACCTCTACGCTACAGGGATGACAATCCTAAGTATCCCAGCTTTCTTTTCTGAATACTTTGCCTTCATCCAGCTTTTCTTTTACCTCTTTGTCATTGTAAAGAACGGAGCAGACTACTACTTCAGCTACTTCTCAAAGAAATACGAGTCCAAGCTGCAAGAACTAGATGAACTAGAAACCGCCCAAAAAGCAGCAGCCTCCTAAAAATTATGCTCAAATTCCAAATTCATGAAGAGATTTAGGCTAAATTTGGTCATTTTTGGAGATTTATAGTGAGAATTGGCCTTTTTTGGCAAGAGTTTTGAAGAGTAGTTGGAATTAGATGAAATTTTGAGGGTTTATATGGATAAAGCAGGTTTTTAGGGAAGTGGACGTTTTGGAAAGTATGGGCTAATGGTCAGGGGGTGCTGATGAGTATTGTTTGATAGGTAATTTTATTTTTACATTCCAGAAATTTTAAATAGTTTGTTGAATAGATTTATAGTAGTCCATTGCTTCTCAATGAAGCTGTTTAGTATCAGGGTAAATTGTTAAATTTGGCGATATTAGCATTTTAAATCAGAGAAGAGCTCTAAAGATTTTAGACATCTGCTTATACTTTCAATAGGAGGGGTTGTAGTTGGGGTTTTGGGGTTTTGGGGTTTTGGGGTTTTGGGG